CGGAGGGAGAGGGGGGCAAGGTCCGAATGTCCTTTAACTAACAAGAACTGGATCATTCTAGAGTTCAGTGGGCTGACTCTTATGGCAGGTGAGTGACGGGGGGAAGGGGGTAGGCGTGTCCGGGGGAAGAGAGAACCAACGGGACCTCGACGAGAATTTAGGTGCCTTGGCTCTTTCACTCCCGAGCAGAATTGTATTACGTTATGAAAAGCAGATATAACGGCTCCTTGGGATTCTAAGGGTTAGTAATGATGCCTATTCGCCTGCTCCTCCGACTCAGATCCTGGGAGGTTACAGAGCTCTCGAGCCCCCAGACCCCAGCTTGCATACGATAGAGTTGCTTGAAAGAACGAAAATGTTTGCATTGGAAATATACTATATACGGTCGACTCCGCATAACGGAATACCGCTTAATGGAATACCATTGCGCTGTCCCGATTTACGATACGACACAGCAGATAGTTTCGGTTATTGGAATACTCCGGATTATATAAAAGTTCGCTGGTCCCGTGAGTATTCCGATTAAGCGGAGTCGACTGTATCACGATGGTTTGACGACCAGGATAAAGTATAAAGTATAAAGTATAAACACCCCTCGGCAACCCCTCCCTACCGTTTGGTCCCCATCATCACTTTCCCTCTTGAATTTTTGCTTTACGTCCTCGCCCTTCCACCCTATACCCTTACGCAGTACTGGGGATTAATTCCCCAAGTGACGCACTAAATGGAAGGAAAAGTGATTTTTGTTATTTCTTTTGTAACGCACCATTTTGTTTCCTATCTTCAAAGGGTCATACTTTAGGCATATTTTGGCCAATCTTGTGGGGAGGGGCATGGCCCCCCAATAATATTGTTGGGGAAGGGGGCATTCGTCCCTTTGTCCCTGCGGATCTGGCGCTTATGTTTGACCTAGAGATATTTGGACGATTATTGGTTAGAATCCTTCCCGATATATCTGTAATCGGGAACCGGCAGAGAACTGTATCGATCTAATCACCACCATCGAATTCAAACTTGTAATCTTTCCGCCGTGTTAACCTGCACTGAAGAGAGTGAGCGAGAACAAAAAGGTAGTCGTGTGCGGAAGTGCGTCTGTAGGACTCTCGTCGACAAAAGAGAGGAAAACGCAACCACGTTTATGTGTGACAGATGCTTCCGCCGTGACAGCGATATCTCCAGTGGGCTCACGACCATCGCTGCCGCCGAGCCCACCCATAGGGTGTGGCTTTAAATCCAGCGCCTATCACAAGGGTGCCAGGCCAAAAGACGGTTCTAAACAGACGCAATTAAAACGGTGGAGACAGGATCTCGTAAAAGGAGGAAAGAATGGTATGTGCTAGCGACGCGTCAACACTATGAGAAGTTCAACGTTATTTCTCGACGATGTAGAGTCGGGGCAGGGGGAGGGGGAGGGGACACGTGCCCCCCACTTTTCAGAAAAAGAAGCATATGTAAGAAAGAAAAAACGCATGAAATGCCTGAGAATATTGTCCTAGAGTTCCCGTGCCCCCCTCCCCTCTTTTTCCATCCACGCTACGCTTGTTTCTCATCTAGAAAAGATACTTCGAAGGGCAAGATCCAAAACCGCTCCTTCAATATTATGCTCACTAAATAGATGATGGTACGACCAAGGTTTCTGATTCAGTAGCAGCTGGGGTTGGTGTAATTTTCACTTTCACGTCGTGCGCTAACGGTTCCGGCATTTAGTGCCGCCAATTCGGATCAGAGTAATTATTTCACCTTGATCCATTTTCCACAAGAATAAGGCATTCTAGGATGGTGATTACGCAAACGGTTCAGAAAATTTTTATTCGCCAATAGGACTAGAGGGCTAAAATAAGATGCAGTCTGGTGTAAATGTAGCAACTTTTAGATTGCAATAGGAACTGTAACTAAGCAGTAAAACCATTTTGAAAATTGGAACACTCACTGACAGTTCGGTGTATATACTGTAAGCATAACCTCATATCTATCGTATATCCTGAAACAATCAACCTTTGAAATTTGTAATTGCAAATTGAGAGTTACCATATGAATCCTTTAAAAGTTGTTGGCTAAATTCAGACGTGCATAAGGAACTAGTCATAGGTTGTTGCTAGAATGCAATATGACATTTGAGGCTCTTCCCTTGCACGAATCCACGGATTTCATCATCCAAACGATGCTGGCAATCCGAGCCATTCTGACCTGGTGGTGACATCATGGGCGATTTGTCGGCCTTCGTAACTCGATAGAAAGTCTCAAGACATGTGCAAGGAAGTCGGATCTTCGCCTAATTTCTCCATTGAATCGGTGAAGAAATCGAATTTCTCCATCGGCGCGAGAGCTGGATATTGCCAACTAGAGACATCTGGCGAAAGAGATTCTCGCAAGAAATCCGTTCCTCTCGACTGGGTGCTGCTTCCTCGAAGGCCGACATCAATCCTCTTGCATCTCTTCTCCAGAATGATGGAAATACGGATTTTTATGTACCATTCAATATTTACTCATTGGAGTGGAAAATCCAATTTTCAATCAGAATACGAAGGAAAACAGTCGAACCACTTGCGATGAATTCAAAGAAACCATTCAAAGCGAAGCACGTTTAAAGGAATAATGCGTCGGAAATTGCTCGAGATTCAAGAGGATACAGCGACGGCAAGATTCGGGCGAGGAGAAAGTCTCTCTCCTTCCATTGCTCGCTGCAGTCGGTCGGGGATGCTTTCTCTTTCAAGGGTTTGGAAAAAAATCAAGTAAGGATGGTTTGTCTGATGCAATTTGATGACATCATGCAGCCTCGAAAAAAAAGGATAGAAAAATACTCAAAATATGTTGCTCATAGAATTACCACGAAGTATTTACATATTGCACCTTTAGTCAGATAAACTCATGGAACAAGCTGATCAGGGGTCCAAGTGGATCTGTTGACAAACATGAAGCTTTCTGCAACATTTGTGTTAATGCACATCTTCAAGCAGGTATTCAAGTTTCTCCTACAGGGATTGGTTTGAATAGAATTGAATGGGACCCATTCCCCATCTCCATCACTCACTTCAACATGGGAGTTTGGCTTCCTGTTTTTTTTCTTCTTTATTCTATTTCTGTTGAAGGGGACCAGCGGAGTAGAATGATCGCATCCAACCGGTTTGAAAAATCAATGTTCCTTGCTAACCTAGTGACTGGATATAATTGATCATGAATCCTTGATGGGAACACACGATGGAAAGGGGGAACGAAGAGAGTAATAGAGTTCCTAACTGAAGCGTGAAGACATTATACAGACCTGCGGAGAAAGGAATGAAAGAGTTAACAAGGTGAGAAATAGAGGGGCTGAACTTCATTATACGAGGCCCCCTGAATGGATCCACACTGCACTGTGCCCGAAATGCGTGGCGGGGGCCTGCAGGGTAGGGAGTGTCAACAGCAACGAGTGAAAGAGAGGCGCCTGTGCATTGTTTACTCAGGGCATGCATGCATTGACAATAATTATTGTGAAGAGCCACCTTTTGTTGGGAGCAGTTCCATTCTGCTCACCCCTTCGCGCGCCCGGAAATCCAGTATATTCCGTATATTATGCGCACGTCTGCCTCTAAGTTTCCGGCCGTCATTTAATGGTGTCTGCGTTTCTATTGTTCCCTGCGTGCAGTGTAGGTCTCATATTGAATTTCATCTGGGATGAAAACATCATGGCAGAGTCTATGCTTTCAGCGTATCGTAATTCGAACCCAGCATTCAGAGATTTGAAACAACCCTGTATGAGATAACAGAACCAATGAATCGTTCATTAAAATAGTTCTCATAGTTAAAATCAGGAACATCTGGAAAGGAGGAGAAAACAACGCAAAAGCCAACCTTTTGTTAATGGAGTTAATGACTAAAAAGTCTTTTACCAACGGATTGAATGGGCATGAGGAAAAAATTGAGGCTTTCCACATTCCACGGTTGTAAACTATGGAATGTGGTAAGCCTAACCCAACCATAGACCCAAACGATTTTCAGCTGACATCAGAATATATGCAGAAAAAACGAGCAAAATCACCTCATACTCATACATAGGCCAGCCACTTATAGAATGAAACTTTGAATCCCTTTATTTGAGCAACAAAACTAACAATTTCGCATTGATTCCTTTTTCACACGCAAAGATTTTCAGTCATTATTCGAAAACTCTTTATAGCCAATGCTCGGTGCATCATTCTAAGTGCTGACGACACTAAGAAACAAAGCAAGGCTCTTTAAAGCAGGGGCGGGGCGATTAAAACTTGAAAGAACCCAAGGGAGCAGCAAAACGATCATGAATTCAGGCAAAGCGGGCACTATAGCGTATCTACCTAGTGCATTGAACCCTAAGCGTGCTTAGTAGTCAGGTTTGAATAAATTACAGCGTAGGATCATTGCCAAGAGATCAGGAAGGACCTGTTTCTTCATAAATGCCTATGGAGATGAATAAGAGGGGTGTGGCTGTTCATCAGGGGCGAAACCGTGCGTGGGGAAATGATGGATTAAGTTGTAGTGAGAGATTTGCTTCCCTGCGAAACAGTACTGCTTCGCATGATGCGCCTAGGAAGTTACATCTCGCGCTTAAAACACGAGGCAGAGGCATATGACGGGATAGAGGCATACGAGATATAGGGTATGGGATGGAAGGAAGATGCGGTCGATGCTGGAAGAGAAGTGCGCATGCAGGGAGAGTCCTCAGAACCCGAAACTACCCATCTCTACATAGCGGATTCTTCCAAGATTTCCAAACATGCCTGAAACCTATCTGGTATGGTGTGATTGGCCGGCTCCGGGCGGATCGACGCCGTCACCATGGAGACGGCGTGGCTCAGCCAATCAGGAGCCGGTGATTCGATGATGAGCCGGCCAGTGACACACCAATGATCTCTCTCTCCTCCCCCGTCTGCCATCACCATATACACCAGAGGCATCGCTGACTTCTCGCTTACAGTCCAAGCCAAAGATCGCTTCTTGCATGTTCTCTCTCCCTCCCGTGTGGTGTCTGTATCGGATCCTGCTTCATGATCGAGTCCTCGGGTAAAAGTAATTCCCCATCACCACCCCCGAGTTCGATCAGTCCTAGCAGCCCCGGAATGAAGCTGCAGGAGGGGACAAAATTCCCCGTCACATCCTCGGCGGCTGCTGCAGCCTTAGGTGTTGGACTATGGGCTGGGTTTGGACCTCCGGGCTCTGGTCCCATGGGACATCATCTCGGACACTTCGGTCTGGGTTTTGGGGGATTTTTGCCTCCTCCCATGATCGGACTGCCGACGTTGAATTTCAGTGTGGAACAAGTGGCAGCCGTCTGCGAGACTCTAGAGGAAAGTGGAGACATCGAACGATTGGGACGTTTCCTCTGGTCCCTCCCTGTGGCTCATCCCAACGTCGCCGAACTCAACCGGTGCGAACAGGTCCTTAGAGCCCGAGCTATCGTGGCATTCCACACCGGAAATTTCCGAGAACTCTACCACATCCTCGAAAATCACAAGTTCACTCGAGATTCCCACGGAAAACTGCAGGCCATGTGGCTGGAAGCCCACTATCAAGAAGCAGAGAGACTCCGCGGAAGACCCCTCGGACCCGTCGACAAGTACCGCGTCCGCAAGAAGTTCCCCATGCCCAGGACGATCTGGGACGGAGAGCAGAAGACCCACTGCTTCAAAGAGAGGACCAGAAGTCTCCTGAGGGAATGGTACCTGCAAGATCCCTATCCGAATCCGACCAAGAAGAAGGAGCTCGCCCAAGCAACAGGACTCACTCCGACACAGGTCGGGAATTGGTTCAAGAATCGCCGCCAAAGAGATCGAGCTGCTGCTGCCAAGAACAGGTTCGTGCTTTTTCTTCATATTTCACCTCGACTTCCAACAATTCTAAGTCACGAAAGCTGGATATAGGCCATAAATTCTAGTCATTTATGATGCAATAATGTTGAGACTGCAATTTTGCTATGTTCATTGCATTTGTAAGTATCTGTAAGCCCGTGTGTGTTTTGGGGAGCAATCGAATTAGGGTTTTCGTTAGGGTGACTCAGATTGAGATCGATAGAGAGAGATCGAGTCCAACACGAAGAGACACTAATAAGTATATGCAATCCTTAGTAGCTGTGAGCAGCTATTTTGAAAATTTTCTGGAGTTGGTAGGGAAAAAAAAGTCGAGGAAAGGAATCTGCCCTGGCTGGGGTTGAAATAAGTAAGTTTTTAAATGCAAAAATTCAGAGGGATCCTTGCCGAACTCCCACCTACTCGTTTTGCATTCGCATGACATCAACCTCTGATGAAAACCGGTGAGTGAAGAGGCTTGAATTATATCAGCATATATTCTATCAAAATAAGTATTTTTATGAAAGCGTTTTTTCATGGAACTCACAGAAAAGCATTTCCAAATGTCAGCAGGTTCAGCCGCTGAAATTATAACTGTATAGGTATATAGTTTCTGAATTTTCATGTTTCTAATATTTTTGGTACGAGTATGTATGTATGTATAGGAGGAAGATTCCAGTCAAAATTTTTAAAATTTTCACATCGTGGGTACATCAGATAACTTTTTCAAGGTATTTATAGAATGTTCAAAAGCACCAAACATGAATGACGTGTAATACTAGCATTTATAATTAATTGGACAAATGCCAGATGTCTTTGTTGGCACTATGAGAAGGAAAGTTGCGAAAGGTCCAGAATGAAAAGAGTGATGAATGAATAGTTGTGCATGATGGAAGAAACTCCTAGATTTTCACTCCACATATAATTCTCCGTGATATTGAAACATGCAACAAACGTGATATTGTGAATGTGAAACCACAATCGGAAGTCGGTCTTTCAAGCCGGTTCCAGCAGAGAAATTAGCATGCAGCATAATGACATCTTGCCCCTTGGTCAGGCTTCTTTCTTCGCAGCTTTGAAGAAGCGGCGAGTCTCGGTCTCTTGTGATTGAGAAGAAGCAGAAAGGAGCATGCGAGTCGCCCTATTCTCGTATGCATATAAATGAATGTTTCTCCAAGATTATGGCATAATAATGAGATTTTCAGTGAATGGCTGCTCACATGAGAATCCATGAAAGAAGACTTTCATCCCCTGCTTGAGGAGAAAGGAAATTTTATTATCACAGCAATTAAAAACAACCAGCTTGGGTGGGTTATTTCATCGTGTAGGCTTGCACAGAAGTTTTCACGTGCGAAAATTCAGACTTGTGATATCCTCCTAGGACCTGCCAATAGGCAGAATACTTAAGAAGAAGAAGAAGATATCCTCCTATTTAGTTTAAGCAATTTAGTTAATTTATTTAACAGATCAAGTGAACACTTGTTATGAAACACTCCTTGAGCTTGTCAATAATCAATCGTATAATTGGTGTAAGAAACAACTGCTCGAATTTCTTTTATTTTTATGTTTATGATGATGGTTATTATTATTATTATTTACAAAGGAAGTCCACGAGACCTGCCAAAATCTAATTCTGAAAGGGAATTCGTGTTTTGGTTTTTAGTTTATCTTGTATGAAATATAGGTTAGCATATTACATGAGTCAATTTAAAAGAAGAGGTGACAGGATGTAGGGTCCCAGGCCATGGTTTCAATTGACAGATCCGAAAAAGAGGATAACTATGAAGAGGGTTTTTCCCCTGTTTTCCAGAAAGTGAAACATCTATCAAACAGAAAGTCTTTTAAATGAAATTAGGAAACTGGCTGGTTGTTTAAAAATTAAGTAGGGAAATGTTAGAATAACATATATTTAACGATTTTTGGGATGATATTCATGAAGGTGCTGACAATGCTTACCGGTATCTAATATACATTTGTTTCAATTTATTTAATAATACCTTAGATTCATAATAGACATGTCCTTGAAGGCGGGTTAAGAAGAGACGAGCATCATATACCTAAGTCAGGCTTGAATATCGATGTCAAGTGGGGATATCTCATTTATTGTACCGAAGTAACGTTTAGCATCGCTTAAGCCTTACCGACAAAACCTAAAAAAAGATCCTGGGAAACATCAAGAAGACAGGTCTATTAGGTCTATTTGCTTTTCCTATTTATTTATTTACTTATTTATTCTTTTTCTGCTGGTCTCTATGGACGCTTTGCTGTTGTCCATGACAACCTGGCGAGGCCAATACTTGGCCGTTCTCTTTGGGTGTGCTAAGGGCTGACTTATAGATCTCAGGTCTCCTGAGATTGTTCCCGATTTCCCAGTGCAGATCGCCCTCACCAGGCCACCGTGCGTGAATGCCTCCCTTCTCGTGGCACTTAGAGGTTGAGGGCTTTGTCATTAGAGCTCAGAAATCGAGAAACGGGCGTGCGGCCGACCCTGTCCCGAACCGCAGCTCCCTTCCCCTCCCCCCTCCTTTCCGTGTTCCGGCCAGTTGCGGTTCCAACAACTTCAGATATATGGCTGAGAATGAGCGACGTTTGACATCCTGTTATAAGTTACATCTTTCATAATTAGCGGACGATGCGCATCGGGAAGTGGGACATGGGAGGCTTCCCGGGACGACGAGAAGAACAATCCATGCGTACTGCCGGCATTGCCCCGAGGATAATTTCTGGTAGTCCAGTATCTATATTAATACAGAAGCTGGAACAAAAGTGATACATGTGAAGCAAGCGAGTGATTTGTGTCATCTCGGACCATTAACACTTCATAACAAGGTGCTTATCACCTAGAGCTGGGGATTTATGTCCCGAGATTCTCCCCTGATTTAGAGCTCTTAATTGGCCATGTATTTAATGCTGCCTGTCCATATGTATAGCCCTATTGCATTGAGAGAGATCTCATCTCATTTCCTCGGTTCATGACCCTTGGTTGGAAATTTGAGTCTTCACTTCCTTCCTTTCCTCCAGTTAATCCAGCTGCCCTTCGTAATCCGCATGATCTCGAAAGGGAGAGAGAGGAAGAGACACAGGGGGGACGCCCAACGAGGCATCAATGCATGCAGCTGCAGTTGATCCTTGCTGTTATGGGTGCCAAGATGTCCATCTTCCTCGCGATGACGGCAAAGTCCTGCTAATATGCGAGGGAGTATGGGAAGGAATCGATTGACGAGACTGACATCGCTATGGTAACGCCGCCAATATCCACAGCGAAGGGAGATTCACTTTCACGGCGAAGGATCCATCAAAAATTCATATTCCAAAGATCTTGTCGGATCAGCTCCAGCCGCATTGACTGGGGATACAATACCATTCAGAAAACTCCTCTAGGAGCAAACACGTCCAGGCTTTTTTTTTTTTTCTTGGAGACGGAGGGGGAAATCCAGTCACGTTGTATGATGAGCCATTGAGCCGAGAAAGATCCGGAAATCGCCCTTGAGAATTCTCGTCTATTTTGACGTCCATCCTCTTGTTCTCTTCCTCTTTCACGTCAATTCACGGGCAGAAATTCGAGATGGATCTGAGATATTTTCTCCCCCGCCGCGCAGAGTAGATGAGGCTTGTTCAATCGAGCATTTCATTCATGTCTCCTTATCAGGTGAGAGGAGATGGAATTATAACGCATCATCCATCTCGGAGGCGTTGATGTGTTACCAGACGATTTCATGAGAATCTTCCTGTGGGGGGGCCTAGGGGGGTGTGATTCTAACTGCATGTGAATAATTCCATCTATGTGTATGGACCCCATCCACGAGAGACGAGGCAAATTGGGTTTTCACATCGTTTTGCATAGTAATAAAACGCTGCTGCAGCCATCCCCGCAGGGCTCGTGAATTATGGCAATCCTTCATCGATCTCGACTATACACGACACGTTTCCTTCTTTTTCCCTTTCTTTTTTCCCCGTTCCCGATCTCATTCCGAGAACGAATGTGTTGGGTCAATACGCGTGAACCTGTTCTCTCCGTTTCGCGGCAGTTTATGGAGTCATTGTCGATCTGCGGGATGCCTTTCAATGGCCGACGTAAGCGCACAGCAAGGGTCCATCTCGATAATCACGAGTCATGCATGCGAGAAAATTCGAAAATGTGGCATCGTGTCGGCTTGGTTTGCTTCCGCTGGCGGGCAAAAAGGATGGGAATCGCTTTTTCCCCCCCAAGATGCCCTGTTTTTGCGGCTATTCGTCACCAGAAGCCAGAGGGGCAAAGTAAGCCTACTCGACTTCTAATGTTACAAAGCTTCCTCGATTATTACAGATAATAAATAAGAGGACGACGTGGATTAGTTGCAAGCTCGTAAAGCCACAAACGGAAAAAAAAGGGGTCGCCGGACGGGGGTGAGCTGAAGGCTTCAGCATGGCATTCGTCGCGTTAGATACGTTTCTCAGGATCAACTTGCATAATACTAAAACTTCCAGCATACGGGGCTTCGGTTTCCAGAGAGGGAAAGAGTAAGGGGAATCTTCGCCTAGGGGTACGACTTAACATGCTTCTCATAGTTGTTTACGGGAACAGGTTACCAGGACTCTGGCAATCACCATAACACCATAATCTCGGAATTCACGCGGAGCGGATATTTTTGTCTTTTTTTCATCCGATGAGAATAAAAGGGCTGGGATCGGCGGACCATAAAAATTATGCAAAATTGATGAATGATAGTCGATAGTATTTGCGTCAAATGTGACATGCCACGTTTTCATTTTTCACTCGTTAACAAGTATTCAAATATTTGCGAATGTCATTAAAAGCAGACGTAATGTCACGGTAGCGTCGGTTCAAATGTTGACTCGTAATTACCTTCTCGCAGAAGTTCGGTTCATCTACGAGCTGTCACTTCGCATGTAATTGCTGAGAAGTTGTCTCTCATCTGGGTCATCACAGAAACGGCAAATACATTTTTTTTTTTTTTAGAATGAAGGAAGAAAAGCTTGTTCTGAAATATCAGATGATGAAAGTCAGATGGAAAATCTGGCGATGTATGTCGAGCATTTCTGGTTGACCTCCTTCCGCTTTCAACACGAAGGACACTTGACCTTAAGGCGTGCTCGTTTGACTCACTCTTTAGATGTTCGAGTTTTGTCATTTTCCTCTTAATGGAGAAAGCGGTGGCGTTCTCTGCAGATTTTCCTCAAGGACAAGCTATGGCGATGCGTTTTGAGGGCTCGTTTTGCTTCATCAGCATCAAGGCCTGGTCTCACGCGTTGTTTGGGCTTTCCGATTTCAGGCTATTGTGTGGAGTACGGCATGAAAAAGTACACTTAAGGACACTTTGAATCATCTATGAAGCATAAAAGGTGCCTTGAATCGTCTCATTCCGACGGCAGCAGATCTTTCTTGTCTACAGCTACAAAATGAGTACGAAACATATGCAACCCCGCAGAGGTAGGCAGCAGCCTGTGCAGGGTTCTGGGAAATCTATATGGAAATGCTGGGAAATCGTGCACCAATTTTCTGGAAGGAACTTCACAGCATTTCCCTTCTAGCTATGCGCGAACTGGACTTTCACTTTATCAGGGTAACGATTCAATGGACTTCAGAGGGGGGAGGAGAGAATCTTAAAAACAAATGGTTGAGGGTGGGAGTGAGAATTGTGAAGCAACAGTGCGGCAGAAAGATAATTTCTAAGAAAATTGACATTTTTTTTACAACTTCCGATTTCTCAATTCAAGGAGAAGCCTATCCCACAGAATATTTGCAGTGATGTCATAAATAGCATGAGATGGATTTTGTACCCGTGTTTGTTGAAAATCCGTGAAAAAGTGGAACTCTTCATATCGAGTATGGGCTCATACTCATCCAGTCCAGTGTGGACACAATGCGGCCATGGAATTGGTTTGGAGTCAGCAACCTTGCGTTTGCGTTGTTGTACTGATTGAAAACGCCATCATGCTATTTATTTTCATACATAATCCTGATAAGCGCATGAAACGAAGTTTCTAACTTTAAAAAACCCACAGGCGGCAAAAAAGGGAGAAAAGTCGAAATGAAAGATTGTTACATCTGGACTTCCATTAAATTGTTTTTCCTGGATAAGAAAGAATGGAATCGAGGATTCGAAAGTCTTTCTCGGTGACGTCATTGCAATTCTCCATGGAATTGCACTCTTCAGACATTTGTACCCATTTGTTGGCCATAAGGCCCCGTGTCGACCTGTTCCGTAGGAGGCAACGTATTTTCTTCGAAATAAATGAGGAAATAGAACATCGGGTTCCTCTCGTCCCTTAATTTTTGTGGTCGCTAAAGTTTTTAGAGGAAATGAAAGCAGGGAAAAAAAAATATATCGTACGTGTTCGGACTATTCAGGGTTGCGGAAAGGGAGGGTGAGGCCTGTCGATTGATCGATATCAGAAAGGGGGGAAGATGGGGTAGGGTGCTCTTCGGCCTGGCTGAATTTCATCCAAGCAAAGGAGGAATTGGAACGCTAACTTAATTTCAATTCAATTCGGGTGCATGAAATCTTGATGAACATGATAGCCCAGGCCCACGTCGTCAGCCCCATCCCTTTGATTCTCCCATGAAAATAATTCTCTCCTCATTTCTCCCTCCTCCCCTTTATGTATCCGTGGATGGACGGAAAAAAGAAGAGAATGATGAGGGGAGATTGAACTGGGATGAAATGAGAGAGGGAGCCAAAATTCTTTCTTATCCACCCCTGTGTCTCGAGTCAGCATTATGGACTTTCCTAATTGAACCATGTTCCACTTTTCCACTTTATTTCCAGCACGTGATTATCCTTCTAAACCTACATCGATCTACATAATTCGATAATTTCATGGAGCACGAGTGACCTCTGCACGTCTTCATTAGTTATACGAGGGTGCGGCGCGCCCTTACCTTCGATAAGTCATGTCATATTTGCGGAATTGCACGATGTTGAATGATGGGAGATTGCTACCGCAGTCATATATTGATGAATGATGAATAGGTGGGGATTGGCATTTAGTCTTATCTGCTTGCAGAGCATCGAGTGACGGAATGATCAATCGATCATCTCCTGAGAGAATTTTTTCGGTACATTTTCTCGTACAATGCAATATATGTACAATTCCTTTTGTCTCTTGTTTAGGTTGCAACAACAGCAGTTACAAAGCGGAGGAGGCGGAGGAGGGAATGGAAGAGAGAGGGGAGATAGTGGGAATTTATCGGCAGGGGAATCAGACACCAACAACCACCGCCATGGATCCGAGGATTCTTTGACGCCGCAACCCACCAGCCCGGCTTCATCCAGTTGCCCCAGCGACGTAGACGAGGATGATTACTCGAACCCCAACCACGACCATCGATCCCCACCGGGTTCCCCCAAGATCCCTTCCTCCTCCACGAGCCCCAACGCGAAGATCCTTCACCCTCAACCGATTCGTTTCATACCTCCCGTGTCCCTGTCTTTATTGGATCACCCACACATGAGAACCCTGATGGCCCTCCAACCCCCTCCCCACTTGAGATTCCACCTCCATCATCCACATCCACCCCCACCACCACTTCCGCCCCATTCGGCAGCAGCTGCAGCTGCCGCTGCTGCAGCCGTTGCCACCGCTGCTGCTGCTGCTGCAGCCGCTGCCCACGGTCATAGTTCGTGATATTCATCATCGCATTGTGTTAACGCCTGTTCTTCTCATTACTAGTCAGAAGCGCGCCCAGTTGCATTATCTCTCGTTCTTTTTTTTTTGTTCTCGTCTCTGTTATTTGTATCTGTTGGAAAAGGAGCCCAGTACGCCGACACGCCCACACAGCTATTTCCAGTGGATGTATCCGATTCATCTATCTTGAATAAATGAAATATATCCTCTGAGCACATCGTCCTTTAATGAAATGCAGGGCAGGAGGCCCAAGCTGTCGTACGGAGAAAGATCCACACGTAGACGCCTCCTCCATTTCGACTACCCCGTTCTGCAATTAACGGTTCTTGATTGATGGACCATTTGCATTTCCCTGTCCGTCCAAGATGTGTCGATTCCCTCGGATTGCATGCACGTGCCGAGCCGAGGAAAAAAAAACCACTCCCGGCTCGAGAAAGTGGAGAATAGGGAAAATCCATCAAAGTCCTTCCACCTCCATTACCGTCCTTCCTCAGGAATGAGTGGAAAGTGTGTTCGTTGGAATCATCTTCACCTCAAAGAATCCAATTACTTTTGACTAATTATGATGAATTACGGTGAGATAATTACCCCCTTCGCCTGATTGATGCATTGATGAGCTTCAAGGACGTGCATGCGGGTTCTAATTGGATCGATCCTGCAGGATGATGATCCCTTCCAATGCCCTCACTCTCGCTAAATGTCCTCCTCACATGTCAAGGGGTCGCATTTAAATCACCACGTCTAATGCGCCACTTAGAACTCTAGGACAGCCTTGGTTCGCACCATAATTTCTAGAAAGGGTCTCCGAGACATAATGGCAATGGAGCCCAGGAGTCTCTTCCGTCGGGGATGAAGGACGGTCGTGAAGGCTATATGGATGGAGAGGGAGAAAAAAGGGAAAGGCCTGAAAAATCCGGATCTTCAAGGGGCTTAGGTATCAAGTTGAAGCCTTCGTTTAATGCGCTTCCCCGGATTATCTATCAACTTACAAGAGTATAATGACGATATTATAGAGAGAGGCCGGGCATTGAGCGCAGAGCGTTCTTTCCCGAGCGCTCTTTTCAATGGATCAATGGGGGAGAAAGGAGCTTTCTGTTTCAGTCCATTCAACCGCGTCGCATTGAACGGCTCTGCATGTATTAAAATGCTCCCTCTTTTCCAAAGGTGTTTACTCCGATTCATATCATATTGCACGCCGAGATGGGAACAACACTCGGGATCCCCGGTGGGGCATTCAACGTAGTGTAACACTCGGGATGGCTCACCCGCTTTTCAACACTCCAGATGCATGAGAGCGTTTTAAATCACGCAACCGATGAGGCAGGTGAACCATGACGTCCGTTGAGGAATTACTTATTCATTAGACAGGGGCGATAATGATGATGATGATGTCAATAAAATGAAAGAGAGGCGTTATGTCATACGGCAGGAGCATGAATCTCTCCCTGCGTTGGGGGGATCTCCTTTGAAAAGGCGAGAATCCCAGCAGCTGGGGGATTGCGGTAAATGTACACCACAGCTCCAATACATTATTGTTATCTCCTGCTTCATCCCCCTTTTCTCAACTGACAAATACCTCACCCTGATAGGGGCGTGAGTCCCATTCTTCGGCAATGGACACATGACCCTTATTCCCCGTCTGATAAAACCTCATACACCCAGGGTGTTATGAAAGGAGAAGAGCCGGGATATCTTCTCTGGTTGCTCTCTTTTGGAGCGAATTAAAACGCTTACGCCATTGAGAATCCCTGTCAGGGATTTTCTGCTTCACCGAAGTGTAGAGGAGCTTACACCATATAGGGTGTAAGCTCCCTCTTGTTTCCCAGCTGTCTTGTACGCCAAGGCAACGAGGGGAATTACGAAAGGATGAATGGTGGGGCTCTATTACGGACGGTGTAAATCATCCGCGTAGCTTCCTGTGACCAGTTGATACATGGCCTTAATCGAGAGAGAGCAAAAGAGAGAGAGGAGAGAGCCCATTTCCTTGAAAGTCATGTGTCACTGCGGCAAGGTCGACTGGACGGAAAGGAAGAGAAAGAGAGAGAGAGAGAGAGAAAAGTCCCTGCTATACAAGATCGCCGCGAGGATTTCATCTGCAAGGAATGTAATGCGATTCTACGAAGGAGATGCCCGTGGGGGGAGAGGGAGGGATATATCAGCTCGGGGAATAATGAAAAGATCATTGTCAAGGGAGACGGGTCATTAGAGAGAAGAGCCCTGGCACCTGAATGGATGCCCCCATGGCTTCCCCCATATCATGGTGTGTAATTGGCATCTAATTGAAGCCATTCGTTGTGCGGTTGAAAGGCATTCCCTCAGCATGAGACCTCTCTCTCGCCTTCTCTTTTACATTCAACACCATACAAAGTCGATGACGCCCTGAAAGCGGGATCTCCCTCGCATTATCCACACGTACGTACATGTAGGCAGTTCCTCGTATGCTTCGTGCTTTTAGCCATTGAAGAACGGGGCCATTGGCACTCGAATGGAGAAGGCTCGTTGAACAGGAAGACGATAACAATGACACGAGAGGCTTGTCATTAGGACGGCCTGTGTAATCACGGCTCAGTACCCCGTCTATAATTAAGTGTAATGAGCGATAATGACACGATATCAGGGGCACTATAATCCAATCGGTGAGTAATTGATGAGGATGATGAAACGTCGACGATCACGCCAAGGGAGCATCTCCCGTGTGAATGACAAGATCTGCGTTCCGCATGCAAACGTCGCATGCTTAAGGACACATGCAGACAAAGGACATAAATAGACAAAGTCGTAAATAGAGGGATTCTCATTTTTCCACTCTGCCCACGCGTCTCATCCCGTCATTGAGGCACGACCGACTGGCACGCCATCCATTCCCTTCTCTCCCCCCTTTTTTTTAAATTTATTGTCCTTTTTTTTCCCCACTGCCATTCGCCCCGAATGCCATTCGTCGAAACCGATGGGGGAAAGCCGATCAGCCGACCCCGTAGCGCGTCCGAGTCATCGAGGCCCCCAATGCGTGATTAGAATTTTTTTCTCTTCTTCACCTTTTATCGCAATTCCTGCGTGTCATCAGATCGTGGGAGGAAGAGGGATTAGAGGGAGTTTATTATCGAAGGACATTGCAGAGGGGATGAAGACGACTCGAACGTGCCAGTCAGCTTATACATGACGCGCGGAGAAAACGAGGGGGAGGAAAAAAAAAAGGCCAGTCCTTCTCGTGCGTGGACTTCGCATGAAGGATGAGAGCGGGGGAGAGGGG